GGGGAGGCGGGCGGCGGGGCGGGGGTGGGCGCGCAGGAGGCGGAGGCGGCGCGCTCCTCGGTGCGGTCGCGCGGCTGTATCGACAGGCGGCGGCTCTCGGCGACGACGTCGTGGATGTCGTGGCGGGTCCAGCGCGTGGTGTCAGCCTCGCGCTGCCGCGACCCGGTGACGAGGGCGGGGTGCAGACGCACGGAGTGCAGCAGCGGCGCCAGGCCGCGCTCCCACCAGTCGCGTGCGGGCGGGCCCGCGCATTCCCCGCGCAAAGTCTCCAGCAGCGTGCAGGGGTGGGTGGCGTAGAGTGCGTGGAAGAGCGCGAGCTGTGCGAGCTGGAGGTGCGCGCGCGCGGCGGGCGATGGCGGGGGGTCGAGCGCGGCGGGACGCAGGAGGGCGTCGGCGAGGTCGGGCCAGTGCGGGGCGGCGAGCGCGGGCGCGGCGTGCAGCAGTGCGGCCAGAGTGAGCAGCGCGTGCAGCAGCGGAAGGGGGTCGCGCTCGAGGCGCGCGGCGCGCAGGAGTGCGGGCGCGAGCGGGTGGGCGGGCAGGCGATGGAGCCAGGCCGGGCGGCGCGCGACGAGCGGTGCGAGCGCGGCGAGGGCGTGGTGCCGCTGGACGCGCTCGCCGCGCATCTGCTCGAGCAGGGCGTCGAGTAGGTGGCGCGCGTGAGGCTCGGGGGCGCGGGCGAGCAGGTCGAGGGCGCGCGCTGCTCCGGTGCGAGCGTGGTAGAGCAGCAGCGCGCGCGTGAGCCAGGGCTCGCGCACGGCGGCGTACAGCGCGCCCACGGCGTCGGCGGCATCGCGCGACTCCAGGAGCGCGAATACCTCGCCGGCCTCGCACGCCGCCAGCATCTCCGACAGCCTGCCGCCGCAACAGACATGTCTCACATTATATAAAATGCAATAAAAAGTAGCGAATGATGAAACAAACAAAATGAAACAATTGTGGTGAAAGCTTAGCTTCAGCTAAGTTTCATTGTATTCAAACATTTAAATTTGTTTATTTATATCACATAAGATACACATATTTTTTTACTAGAGAAAAAATGTCATATTGTAAGAGTGTAGAAATTTTATTTTGTGACAATAAATGATTTTCTTTCTCTCCATTGTTTTATTCATTTGTCCAGGCTCCATATTATTATGCATAAACACATTAATTTCTTTCAATTGCTTGTATACTTAATATATTACATACAATGACTAAATCATTGAATATGATTTAAAAGAGAAAAAGAAATATCTGAGATCGGGTAATGGTGTTTCATTGGTTTACATAAAACTTGCTATGTTGATGACCTTGTAAAACCCGACAATGTCATGGAGGACAGACAAATGAATCAATCAAAATCTATAAAATATGTACTAGAGGTAGTAGAGGAGGCTTTATCACTAGAAGCCTTGAAGTGGACAATGTATAATACAATAATAATGGGTACTTTTAATATATAGATTTTATTTAAGAAATAGATTAGAGGCAGACAAACACTGAAATATAAATATCTTCTCATTCCAAGTAAAATAACATGAACAATCATTATCATTAAATGGCATCATTCCTACAATATATAATTTAAAATAATCAATGTAGAATGTTGTCATGTAGCATTTGTCTTGGTTTAGAGAGGTAAAAATCCATAGTAGCTGTTATAGATGTAAAACAAGATAAAATGTTGTTTATAACAATATAGTAAGTATTCTTCTAATGAAACAAATAGTAAATGTCACATATGAATGCTATTGGATACCAATACCAAATGTTAACGTTTTTTAATTTGTTTTGTTTATTTGGATGTTTTTTTTCACTGTTTCTTAGGACTATATTATAAATTTAATAAAGTATAAGTAATATCTAAGGTCCTAATAAAATTAATTAATATTTACTAGTGCAAATTACTAATAAACATAATAACAATGGTCTTATCGGAACGCAAAGTGCAACTCAGCGACGCGTAGTTCTGCGAATGCATATTAAATGTTTTATGTTTTGTGATATTTGTTGTTTTTAAGGGTTTTGTATGACACTATTTGTGGATACAAATACGGTAATACTAGACTGCGTGGCCCGTTGACTCGTCTAATAAAAACTTACCAACTAGTAGCTCGGAGAGATGATCCGTCCGGTACCGACGCTGGTGGAATTTTGATGTAGGCTTTATTTCACTTTGTAAAAGATAATTCTAATAATAAGAAGCTAAAACATAACTAATAGAAAGTGTTATATTGCAGGACAATCTAGCTTTTCTTGTTCTTTCTTGTATAAAATAATCATTCACTTCCAGTATGACAAATTAAAATGATAATCAAAGACAAATGACAATGACATCCACATATGACGACAGTGACAGCCGGTTGACAATTTAATGCAGTGTTACAAGTGAAAATGATTATTTCGATGCATTTTTGATGATTTGTAATTTATTTGAACAAAATCTGGTAGAAAAGAGAAATTAGCATTAAAACCAAGATGAGATTAGGGCAGATGAGTAGGGCTTTTTTTTATAAGAGAAGGGGGCAAACGAGCGGCGGGAACACCGAGGTGATTAGAGGTGATCAATGGACATCTGCAACACCAGAGGACACGTATGTTAAGAATACCATGAACTGCGAAACGCACCGATCTTTACCCAGCTCCAAATACGAACATGTACAGCAAATGCTGTCTCATGCATGCATTCTTGCATATTTTGGCCACCAATGTGCAGAGGAGATGACAGCCTAGAGAATAGTGGTTAGGAACACTGACGGCAGGAGATCGCGCGGCCGCTCCCCAAGTGAAGCGACCAAGTGAAGGACCTTTCATCATCCAATTTTTACGCAGTCGTTAGAGACGCGCTGGACCGCAGTCGGTGGAAGCTAATCGTCATTAACCCTGATGTTGATCACGATCCTCAGCCACGAGGAGCCGAGAGAGAGAGAGAGAGAGTAATTTATTTACATTTAATAGTAAGATTACTTTCTCTTCAATAAAGCAGTATAAATAATTAACAATTTAGGCGAATTTTCATCCTCCCTTACTGCCTTAAAAACTTTGTTTTACATAAATGGGCGTATTAAAACATAACGTGTTCTTTTCCATAATTGACTAAGAGGGTAACACAAAAGCTAAAAGTCACAGTCACTTGTCAATGTCAACAACAGTCAAGAATTGATCAATATATTGCGAAAATTTCGAAAACTAACCTAAAATGTTAAAATGAATGAAATATTAGCTTTATATTTGCTAAATATGTAAAAAAAAATATATATTATATTGTTGTTAAACCATTTGCGGAAAAGTGTAGTTATCTTTTACTTACATTAATATGATATTAAATATGTTAAGAGCTGTTTCTAGTATTTATATTGAGAGCCAGGCTTTGGCGACCGCTAGACGTGATGTTTTTAAATTATTTCGTAAGTTTCATCCCATCATATATAAGCCATACTGTCATAATCCATTTAAACTTCTGCATTTATTTTAAATGAGAAAAAAACTGTCCTTTCCAGTACCGCAGTAACCTCCAGTACTCCCAAAACGTATTCATGAAAGATTTTTTTTTCAATAATATGCTAAGTGTAAAATTTTGAACTTCTAGGCACGGCAGGTTATGCTGGTATATCCACAAACCAGGTGAATAAGGTTTTCTTATTTTTAGTCATATTTTTTAAATTTCTATCATGTTCTAACCTGTGTAATTATTTATGCAAGCAACCAAGAAAAATTAGGAAATATAAAACGGTAACTGCATTATACTGCATGTTATGCTTGCTATGAAGAAGTACAGCTTACATGCATGTATTCATTAAATTGTTGTTGACTTTTAGACAGTACTGACAGAAGCAAGTCCACAAACAAAGTCTGCCGTCTCATCAGTGGATTCTCCCACACATTCTGCACCTCCACCACCCCCACCTCCGAACCCGCCGCGCAGAGGATGGGTGGCCGCTGCGGCTTTTGCTCTCACAGCATCAGTTGGAGGAGTATGTTCATCTTGTAAACACATTCATGTTAACTCTGTGTAAAATACGAAAAACATAATAATATGGTGATATTGTTTCATATCTTTTGCTATGTATTTTTGCAAAAGTATTTTACTTTGATGTCCTTTTATTTTAATAAAAAAACTGATTAGTGAATGTGATGTTGCAGGTGTACTTTATCCGGAAGTTGAACACATCAGAGGAGCAGCCGCTACTGACTGAGAGTAAGTGTCTTTATTGTACCCATTACATAATGACAAAACTTATGTTTAAAAATTTAGGAATATTACTTTATTTGTAAACTATATTTTAAAAGCACATTTAATTTGTAAAATATCTGTAACAGAAAAAGTTGCAGAAGTGACCAAGAAGGAGGACCCACCGATTCCGGCGAGCCCCGAGGGCCTTCCACAGCATGTGGACTACCTCGTGGTGGGCGCGGGCACGGCGGCGTTCGCGGCGCTGCGGGCCATCCGCAGCCTGCGTCCCGACGCCCGCGTTCTTCTGGTGGGCGACGAGCACGCTCTGCCCTACATGCGCCCGCCCCTCACCAAGGAGCTGTGGGGGGAGCCCGACCTGGCCAAGAAAGCTATAGACCCCGATACCTTAATATTCACACAGTGGAACGGCAAGAAGAGAAGGTCAGTGGTTGCTTAAAACAAGGAAATGTATTCCATTTATAAGAGTAAGGGATATGTGGATGGGTTCAGGCTAGCGTACGAGCCGAGCGTGTTCTACACGGCGGCGGAGAAGCTGCGCGAGGGCGCGGCGGGCGCGGGCGTGGCGCGCGGCTGGACCGTGCGCGCGCTGGACGTGGCGGCGCACGAGGCGCAGCTGGCCGCCGCCGGGCACACCGCCACGCTCACCTACGGCAAGTGCCTCATAGCCACAGGTGCGTCTCGTATCTTATCTGGGATGTGGACGGCGTCACTTTAGTGTCGACAACCGGATGAGATGGAGACGGTGGTCGTGTGCAGGCGTGCGCAGTGCGCGGTCGGCGGTGCTGCGCGGTGCGCGCGAGGCGGGGCTGGCGCTGGGCGTGCGCACGGCGCGCGAGGCGGCGCGGCTGGCGGAGCGGCTGGAGCGCGCGCCGGCGGGGGAGGTGGCGGTCGTGGGCGGCGGCCCCTACGCCTGTGAAATGGCCGCAGGACTGGCGCACGCGCGTAAGATCTGTTCGCCTTTACGTATATGCTTCCTGCTCTAGCAACTGGCACGCATTTTAAAATAGAACATATATTTTGATGTTGTGTAAAATGTGTCGCGTGCAGTGCGCGAGACGGACAAGTCGGTGGTGATGGTGTACAAGGAGGAGGCGCCGCTGGCGCAGCTGCTGCCGCGGCACCTGGCGCTGGACGCCGCGCGTCGCCTGCGCCGCCTCGGCGTGCGTCTGCTGCCGCACAGTCAGTACCGAGCGCCACATAGCTAGTTATTGCACGAGAAGAACGTCAACGTCTGTGTTCATAAACTAACTGATATGTCACAGCGGAGGTGACGGACAGCAGCGTGAGGTCCGACCGCGTGCGGCTGCAGCTGACGCGGCTGGCGGGCGAGGAGGCGCAGCAGCAGGGGGAGGAGCGGGGGGAGGAGCAGGGAGCGGAGCGCACGCTGGAGGCGGGGCTGGTGGTGGAGTGCATGGGCAGCGAGGCGAACGTGGAAGTGGCGCGCGCGGCGGGGCTGGAGGTGCACCCCGAGCTGGGCGGCATCGTGGTGAACGCGGAGATGCAGGTGAGGCGCGGAGATGGGTGAGTGTTGTGTGCGGGGCGCGCTGAATGTATAGCATGGGGTGTGTCAGGCGCGCACGGACGTGTTCGCGGCGGGCGACGTGGCGTGCTACTTCGAGCCGGCGCTGGGGCGGAGGCGCGCGCTGCGGCACGACCACGCGGTGGCGTCGGGCCGGCTGGCGGGCACCAACATGGCCGGGGACGCGCCGCGCGCCTACACGCACCAGCCCATGTTCTGGTCCGACGTGGGCCCCGACATCGGCATCGAGGTCTCTATCTCACCTCGTACATCCTAAGTTACATACTTACTTGAAACATAATATGAGATGCGAGTGCCACGTTTCAGGCTATCGGCATTGTAGACGCTCAGCTGCCCACGGTGAGTGTGTTCTGTGAGGACGCGGTCAGCGAGGGGGTCTCTGACGTCAAGCTGCAGGCGGCGACAGCGGCCGAAGAGGCCGGGGCGGAGGCGGAGGCGGGGGCGGGGGCGAGCCTGCAGG